TACTGTGAAACACAAAACGGATGGTTCTATTGAGCATTACAAGGCTAGACTTGTGGCAAAAAGGTTCACTCAGACGTATGGCGTTGACTATCAGGAGACCTTTGCACCCGTGGCTAAGATGAATTCAGTCAGAATGCTTCTCTCTTTAGCAGCTAATCTAGATTGGCCACTTCATCAGTTTGACGTAAAGAATGCCTTTCTCCATGGTAACCTCGAAGAAGAGGTATATATGGACATTCCCCATGGTTTTGAGGATCATCAGACATAAGGCAAAGTATGTAGGCTTCGGAAGTCATTATATGGTCTCAAGCAGTCTCCGAGAACTTAGTTTGAGAGATTCACTCAAGCTATGCTTAAATATGGCTTCAAACAGAGTTAGGCAGATCACACCTTGTTTGTGAAACATTCCTTACTTGGTAAGACTACAGCACTCATTGTTTATATAGATGACATAGTTCTTACGGGTGATGATAGTGAGGAAATTTCTCTATTGAAGAAATATTTAGCTAGTGAGTTTGAAATCAAAGACTTGGGGAGCTTGAAGTATTTTCTAGAAATTGAAATTGCTCGCTCCAAGGATGGGATATTTATCTCACAAAGGAAGTATGTGCTTGATCTATTGAAAGAAACTAGGATGCTTGGCTGCAAGGCCTGTGACACTTCACTAGAACTCAATCAGAAACTGGAGGATGATGAAGGGGGAGTAGCTATTGACAGGGAGAGCTATCAGCGATTAGTGGGTAAACTCATTTACCTATCTCACTCTCGTCCTAATATTGTTGTTGTTGTCAGTGTGGTTAGCCAGTTTATGTATGCTTCTCATCAGATTCACTTCGAGGCTGTCATGAGAATTTTGAGATACTTGAAGTCTGCTCCTGGTAAGGGTCTTTATTTTTCAAGGTATGATCATCTTCGTGTGGAAGCCTATACAGATGCTGACTGGGCTGGATCAATGACTGATAGGAGATCGACTTCAGGGTATTGCACCTTTGTTAGAGGCAACCTAGTTACTTGAAGAAGTAAGAAACATAATGTGGCTTCCAGGTCAAGTGCAGAAGCTGAGTTTAGAGCTATGACACAAGGAGTATGTGAGCTCTTATGGATCAAGTTATTGTTGAGTGATCTAGGTATTGATCAGACGGACTCCATGCGGTTATACTGTGATAATAAGGCCACTATCAACATCGCTCACAATCCGGTTCAACATGACAGGACAAAACATGTTGAGATTAATTGCCACTTCATTAAGGAAAAACTCACTCGTGGCACAATATGTACTCCCTTTGTGCAGTCTGGTGAACAACTTACTGACATCCTCACCAAGAGAGTTGGAAGTAAGCCATTTCATGACATCTTAAGCAAACTGGGCATGAGAGATATCTTCGCATCAACTTAAGGGGGTGTTAGACTAATTTATGATTATTTGGGTTATTATTTTGTAATTATTTTATACCTTAGGGCTTCCTTGTAATTATTAATCTTCATTAATATAAATAGGGGATAATATCCTAATCATTAACCCTAATCTTGGTATTTTCTAAATCTATCACCTTCTTCTACTTTAGCTAGTTTTCAAGCATTTGTTTTGCATGCTTCTATATCTTGTGTTTTTAATAATGTTCAAACTTTAGAATTGTAGCATGCACGTATAGGCCATGTCAATTTTTAATACTTATGTCAGTTTTTTCCTTTATTAAATAAAGCTTGCAAAGATTCTAAGTTTTATTATGTGGTTTGTGAATTATTTAACCATACTCGTACCAATTACATACCTTATATGACTCATACCCCTAGTGCTTTTGACCTTATACATTCCAATGTTTGAGGTCTGTCTCTTGTTCCTAATTTTTCTGCCTATAGATATTATGTCACCTTTATTGATGATCACAATAGATGCACTTGAGTATATTTGTTGCGTCGTAAGTCAGACATGTTTCTCATTTTTGTTCAGTTTTTGCAAATGGTCAAGACTCAGTTTCGTACAGTTGTTAGGAATATCCATTCTGATAATGGTGAGGAATGTATTTCCAATGCTTTTCGTTCCCATCTTAATCAAGCTGGTATTCTTCAACTTATGTATCCACGGACTCCTGAGCAAAATAGTGTTGTTGAATGTAAAAACCGTCATATTAATCTGTTGTGCGGTGCCTCCTTTGTGGTATGAGTGTCCCTAAGTCCTATTGGCATACGGCTATCCTCACCGCTATCTATCTTATTAATTGGACTCCTAGTCGTGTGTTATAGGATCTTACCTAGTTTCATGTTCTTATGCCCTACACTACTCTATATCCTCTCGTACCCCGTGTCTTTGGGTGTAACTGTTTTGTTCAGGATCGGAATCCTACTTGTACAAAGTTAGACGACACGTCTATTCGTTGGGTCTTTTTGAGGTATTCTTGCATGTCAAAAGGTATAAGTGTTTTGATCCTGTGTCTTGTCACTTCCACCACACTTTGGATGTCACTTTTTGTGAGGATCTCCCATTTTTTGGTACTAACCCTCCTTTGCAGGCTTCCACTCCCGTTACTTCTAGTGTTCGCCCTATTCCTATTTTAGACGAGGTTACAGATGAGGTTGTCCCCCCTCCTCATTCTCCACCTTCGCCTCCTTCACCCCTATTACCTCTCCGATCTATGGGTCAGGTACTTCTTCTCCTTTACATACATCCCCTCCACCTTCTCATCGTAATCTCCCTCAAGATCGACATTCTCCAAATCGTTGGGGTTATTTGAGTAGTACTAATCATCCCATTTCCCATTATATTTCATATGACATGGTCTCCTCTACCTATTGCTCTTTTCTTGGCAAGCTTGAATCAAAGGCCATTCCTCGTTCTGTGTAAGAGGCCCTTCAGAATCCTAAATGAGTGGAGGCTATGCAAGCTAAGATAACAGCTTTAGAACAGAATCATAATTGGCATCTGGTTCCTTTACCTTCTGGCGAGAGTACTGTCGGTTGCAAATGGATATACACTATTAAATATCTAGTTGATGGCTCTGTTGACCGTTACAAAGCCCGCTTGGTGGCCAATGGCTTCACCCAAGTTCCTAACAAGGATTTAGAGCCACTTTTGCACCTATTGCCAAGCTTACCTCAGTTCATCTTCTCATCTCTCTTGCAGCATCCCATTCTTGGCCTCTTTATCAGCTTGATGTCAAGAATGCCTTTCATAGGGATTTTCTTGAGACGATTTATATGGCACCTTCTCCTGGTTTTCGGGCTGAGGGGGAGTATTTGGGAAAAGTGCGTTGATTGCACAAGTCTTTGTATGGCTTGAAACAGCCTCCACGAGTTTGGTTTAGTCATTTTAGTTCTATCACCATCTCTATTGGGTTTGTTCAGTGCCACTTAGACCATACTTGCTTCATCCGTCATAATTCAGCCAGTCAGTGTATAGTCTTGCTGGTTTATCTGGATGATATTATTCTCACAAGTGATGATTCTGTAGGCATTAATTAAGTAAAAAGGAATGTAGGACATACCTTTGATATTAAAGTTTGGGGAGTCTCAAGTATTTTCTTGGGATTGAGGTGGCTCGCTCACAGCAGGGAATTTCCTTATCTCAGAGAAAGGACACTCTTGACCTACTTCAATATACTAGTATGTTAGGGTGTAAACTTGTTTCCACTCCTATGGATCCCAATGTCAAGCTCACATCAGAGTCTAGCGAGTTGTTAGAGGACTCAAGCATGTATCAACGTCTTGTTCAACATCTAATTTATTTGGCCAACACTAGACCCGACTTGACATTTGCGGTCAATGTTGTTAGACAATTCATGCATGCACCCCATATAGAACATCTTGATGCGGTTCATCACATTTTGAGATATTAGAAGACCTCTCCTAGCTTGGGATTATTCTTTACAACCACTTCTCAATCTAGGCTCTCTTGTTTCACCAATGTTGACTATGCAAGATTTAGAATTGATCGGCGTTCTACTTTTGGCTTCTATACTTTCTATGGTGATCATCTTATATCATGGTAGAGTAAAAAGTAGGCAATTGTTTCTAGATCTTCTACAGAAACTGAATATCGAGCTATGGCACAGGGAACATGTGAGATTCTATGGCTTCATTCTATCCTAGCATAGTTGGGTTTTGAGGAAACTGGTCCTCCCTCCTTATTTTGTGACAAGAAGTCTATTGTTATGCTATCCTATAATTCTGTCCTTCATGAGCGTACTAAGCATCCAGAGGTTGATATTCATTTCATTCAAGAAAACATTCAGACTGGTATTGTGAGTCCATCATTTGTCTCTTCCTGTCAGCAGTTAGCAGATATCTTCACAAAGTATGTAGGACCGACATTGCTTCAGTCATCCATTGGCAAGCTGTGATTGTTGAATATCTTCACATCAGCTTAAGGGGAAGTGTTGAATATAGAAATTAAAGTATATAGAACCTTTTTATTTTTAATATTATGTATATAATCTATGATTATGCCAATCACTGATTTATTGCCTCATTTATATCGTTTCCTAAATTGTATCATAAATCTATTATATATACATAGCCTCTACCTCATTCATTGGTAAGCCAAAACATTCTTTTCATCATTTTATACACATCTGTGATTTCTAATGGATCCTTGGTCATGTCAACAATATAACTGCACCATCAGCATGCTTTTTTGTGCTATAACTTTCAAGTGAAGAGTGTACACTGGCACCTTCTAGACTTCAACCATGCTATAGTCATTTTTCTTCAATGCAGTAAAATCATCATAAACAAAATATACAGCTGCTATGTATTATGATAACAGGACATATCAGCAGTACATAGGGTACGATCCATCAGAAATTGTCTAATTCACTATGAGAATGGTATCTTTAGGTCTTCTAGAGGAAGCATTTGGGTTGAAATTAAGAAATCAACTGCAATATGGTAGCTGTAAAACAAAAATCAACTGAAACAAACAAAACTTCAGTAATTTTTGGGCAGTACTATTTCAAAAACTGAAGTAGCATCCTTAAAGCTAAAAAATTAGACAAAATGGATACAAAAGTAGTTTGTAAGAAGATTTTTCCGCGCAGGCAAATCTAGCTTTTTCCTTTCACCTTCAGGTTTAAAATCTTTCAGATGGTAAGTTCTATCAACCACCAAACCAGCACCATTGTTCACTTCCTGTTTTTCAAAAGATGTAAGATTCAAGAACAAAACCGTAGGTTTTATTTGCAATATGGTATGATGATGCCATCCACATCAAATTAAATTACAAAGATGTTATTCTTCTTCCAAAAAACATTTCTGTCATTTTCCAAACATACACCCCTTATTACAACTTTAGTTTCACAATCACTTTGGTAAAGATTTAACAACTTTCACTACCACAAAAGAAGCGAGCATGTCTGGAAAGAAAATAAATAAAATACTTAGAAGGCTTCATCCCTGTAACAATTTGGTGACAGCTTTGTGACACAAAACATGAAACAGAAAACTTTGAAAAAGTTTTTGAATAGGAATAACAAAATTTAAAATTGAAACACATCACTGTATATAGTCATACAGAGTTGATAACAATCAAGGAGGCAGCCCTTGAACATAGTGTTCTTTCTGGAATTCATTCCACTATGGACTGTAGTGCAAATCTGTCTTCCCATCTAAAATAGCTCTAGATGGGGACAAATGTTAAAATAAAATTAAAAAACTATGTATCCTACCCAGGTTTGGATAAAGCCTTTGTTGAGTTCGTCATCCTATCCTATCTGTTTATCTTATTCACAAATAATTTCACACACCAATATGGCTGTAAACAACTTATCCTTGGTTTACGTATACTCCCAGCACAAAAGGTTCACATGAGTTGAACAAGTGATTGATTTGATGTGTGTGAGAGAGAGATTTGTTTGGAAAACTTGTTTGGCTTACAAGTTTTGAGAAATTGTTTTGGGAAAATTTGTTTGGTTTGATTACTTTTAAAAACTTATTTGTAGAGAAAATTTCTCAAAAAATTTTCACAAATACATACCAAACGAACCCTATGTATCCTACCCAGGTTTGGATAAAGCCTTTGTTGAGTTCGTCATCCTATCCGATCTGTTTATCTTATTCACAAATAATTTCACACACCAATATGGCTGTAAACAACTTATCCTTGGTTTACGTATACTCCCAGCACAAAAGGTTCACATGAGTTGAACTAAAGCAAATTATGCATATTGCACCAGGGCAGAGTGGCATGAAGAATTCATCCTCACAATTGAACTAAAGGAAATTATGCATATTTCTGCGGGGCTGAATGACATGAAGAAGTGCACTTTCACCTATTACACCAATATGGTTGTAAACAACTCATCCTCATAATTTTGTTAAAGTATACACCCTGCACAAAACGTTCACCTGAGTTGAACTAAAGGAAATTATGCATATTCCCCAGAGAAGAAGAAGAGACATGATGAAGTAGAAGTGATGTGAAAGCAAAACCAATATTTTTTATGCCAGAGAAACATATGTTGCTTAGGACATAAAAATATTAAAGAATCAGAAAATAAGTTCTTACTGCTGTTCCAAGGAGGGAAAAAAATTAAAAATGTTACCTGAAATGGCATTCTAGTAAAAGGGTCAATATCACCTCTTGCTATACCTTTTGCTATATGTTGAGGTATCGATGTGTCCCTTGTTAAGGTTTGACAATACAAAAAAAACTGAGACATAGTGGAACCGCATATGTAGCAGAGCATCAAATTACTATTAGCATTAAATCAAGGATATGGGCCTAAGAAGTCTAAATCATCGCCAACATTGTCAGGTAGGTCAGACAAATGTACAATATCTTCGATCGTAGGGTCATAAACTCGTTGATGCTGGAAAGTCAGTATAGCTTTCTTAAATGATTCTTCATAGCTAGGAGACACAGCAACTGTGCTGTATTTTAAATGTTTGATTACCTGTAATTGATAGTTGATCAAACTCAATCAGAGCTCACCAGCAAATACAAGGAAACAATACATTACATTGGCAGAGATTATCTGCAAACCAAATCCAACCCTAAGCATTGCTTTACTTTAATCGACACTAGAAAAACAGCATTTCTTGACCTATCAAGTAAACATGTGCAGGTATTAGGTTCCTTGTCAATGACTTACCTTTTCATGACATTTGAACTTTTTCACTAGTGCATGAGCCTTTTTCAAGCCCATTCCAGGCAACGACTGCAAATAGTCACACCCACTCAGAATACACATCTCAAGAAGCATCTGCTTAGTAAATCCTGTAAGATTCAGTTCACTGTTCTGTTGTAGCATAGAGTATCGAAATTCAACACCTTGCCCAAACTTGTCCATCTTATAGATGATCTAGATTTATGACATGATTAAAGTATCCATCAAAAAACTTTGCAATAAGAATGAAAAATAGGAAAAGGATTCTGTTTACACTACAAAACAGAAACAGAAACAGAAATTAAAGTAATAAGCATACAAGGGCCAGCAAAAGAATGACAACTATATCATGTTTAGAGTAAACTCTCTGAACTAATCAAAAACTTACTCTGGGACAACCAAAAGCAATGAGGTCTGAGTCCTCAGTTACAACTGCATCAACCATTTTGCTGACTGCCAAAAACGTCATTTGGGCATCTGCCTCATAAGGAGCCACAACATAACCCACATTCTCTTGCTTTAAGACCTTCAACACACAACCATGTAATGGAAAAAGAGAAAACATCATGTTTTGCTACAAAGAAAAAAGATATATTTAAGATAATATCCTGTGAAGCTGTCATTTAATCCATGTGGAGTCAGTTTATAATAATGTCAAAAGAGCAATGCCTGTTACTACCTGAATTAGTTCATATGCCACTGACGGTGAGATATCAACAGCCTTCTGATAGCACTTATAAGCAGCAGCATTATTGCCATTTGATTCATGCTCAATAGCCCGCGCAAGGTTTTCCTTCCTTGCTCTGTTTTCAAGGAATACACAACTTATCAATAGTTCAAGGCCTACCATTGCTCCAAGTGTTGACCATCAAAACTAAGCAATTTCCTTTCCAGCAAAATAAGCACTTGATCTTTATTAAAGCAAAACTCTCAGGATCTAACAATTCTTGAAAAAGTAAAACAAATATCAAAGAGAAGCTAAAACACAACTAGAGTAGAAAAGGAAAGCAATTTGGCTGTTTCTACAGTATGTGAAAAGTAGAAAAGATACCACAAGAGGATGTCAAATAGAACCAGAGTCAAAAGGACAGCAGTTTGCCTGCGTCCACAATAAACATAGAAGGTTTTCAGTCCACTCAGGTCAGAATGCTTCTCTCACCTTTTTTTTTTTTTTTTTTTGGATCAGCAACAAAATGATATTTTATTGATGAAAAAAGGAAAACAGAAGCAGAGAAGAAGTCCTCTTGAATGAAGACAATTGTTAAATAAAAAAAGAACCTAAACATCACAAACAGCTTTCCAATATTCAGAAATTATAAAATAAAATAAAAAATAGAACCTCTTTAAAAGAGGGGGAGGTAGGCACCCAAAACAACAACAAATGAAACTTTTATCCCACCATGAATCAACATTCTCAACCTTGTCCTCGAAAATCCTTGCATTCCTTTCCAACCATAAACTCCAAAAATTGCAAAAACAACACATCTCCACATAACTTTCGCTCTTTTCTTGAAACCAAATCGTCGAAAATCAATTAATACCAATTGAGCACTTCCGCTTCTCTCACCATCACTCTCTCAAACTTCAAAGGAGGTCTCACACAACCCTACAAATTGCTCTTAGGGATAATATAAAATAATCAAACATAAAGATAGACTTTACACTCAACAAAGCCCCAACAATTTGGTTTAACTACACAAGTCCACTACAACTCCAGTCATTGTTACTGCTCACGAGTACTGTTTATATTGCCCAGAGCAGCCCAAAACAGTCCCTTAAACCATCTCTTTTCATTCCCTTTTTTACTCCATTCAAACCCTATAACTAATTTTTATCACTTTTTCTGCCACAGACCATCGATTTCCGTCCTAAATAGAGCCATTTGTTGTAGCATTGCATTAATTGGGGCTCACTAATTGTATGAGACCCCACACTCATTCTACATCAAAATGCAAGTTCCACATAGGCCCTGTTTGGTAGGGCTTATTTCCAGCTTATTTCAGTTTTTAGCTTAATTTAAGCTATTTTGATGTGTTTGGCTTAGCTTAACAATATAACTTATAGTTTTTTGTAAATCAAAAATCAACTTATTCTTTGAGTGGGGGAGGAGAAGCTTAATTTATAAGTCAAAAATCAGTTTATGTTCACAGCTATAAGCAATAAGCTATAAGCTGTTAGGCTATAAGTTATAATCACTTTCCCACAGCTCTACCAAACGGGGCCATAATCCTAATAACATCCACAAGAGAAAAGCTCAATGAACTAGTGATTATATCAAGCGAGAAGATGCACTTGTGACCATTGCTCCTTGTCTAACCATAATGCAAAAAGGAAGAGTGCACAACACTCCCACTTAACATGTTTCATTCTTTGAAGACTCGTATGTTTTAGTTTAAAGTGTCTCTAGACTCCCTCTCTACATCTGATCGAGGTGGAGTGTCACGGGGCAAGGCTTGTAGGCAACCAATTCACAAGCACACCTCGTGTGAACAAGTCCCGTTACGCAAGCCCGCCAAGCTCAAGACACCTCCGAAGCAAGTGAACAATCAGAACAGCACAATAAACAAATACAATCTAATGTACAATTAGAGTTACAAACTAGAAACAAAAGAGCATCATTTCATTGACAAAAGAGTGTATTACAATGCCTTAACAATGCACAAACGTGCAACAAAAGTAGGCCTAAAACAACTCCAAGTAGGGATAAATTAAGGCACAGGTGGTCTCATTCATCACCTGGGTACCCCTCCTTATAATAGCATTCTAAGCCCTTTACAAACCGGTAGGAGGAAACATCTCTCATGCTTGAGGAGTCATAATGGCTCTTACAAAATTAATAAAATTTACCAGGAAAATAATAGCCACAAGCCTAGTACAACTCAAAAGTACTATATTCATAACCTTAGGTTGTGCAGTAAAATATGTTCGGATTCTCCCATATGCGCATTGGTGGCAGCAGTAGGCAAGCTAATTGCACAGTGCTGCTGGCATGGGTGTTGCTTGGCCCGCTGCTTGGACGCTTGACAAGCACATTGAGGCGCTTGTGTGGTACATCATGGGGTGCTTTGGGGCAGCCCGTGAAAAGTAGTCAGTCCTGGCAGGTAGTCAACAATCCAGAGGTTTGGGTGGCGAAGGGGAGGGGCAATTCAGCCCTGGAAGGTGGTCGACAATCCAGAGGTTTCTCACCTACCTATTGCGCCAATGGGCAGACCTTGATGATTGTATCGGACTACAACGGTTAAATATGTGAAATATCAAGAATGGCACTGCAACACTTTGATACATTCATCGAAGACTCACATGTTTTGGTTTAAAGTGTCTCTAGGCTCTCTCTCTCTCTCTCTCTCTACATCTGGTCGAGGTGAAGCCACACCAAGCCAGTGGGCCAAGAAACCTAAACTAACCCTCAGGTTTAACCTCTAAATCACAAATCCTCTAGTGCAAGGTTCTAAATACTGGCCTCATCATTGCAAATCAGCCAATTTGAAGCAGTTTTTTTAGTCCACGAATCGAATGTTCAACGGTATACTAGTGTGATTCAAAATTGCAGACGAAGCAGTTATAACCAAATAAAAATAGAGTCTCCATTGAATTGATCCGATTTGCCCAAAAATGGGCCAAATTCGGATGCTTTTGGACAAGGACCTCCAAATTTTAATTTGTTGTAGTAACTAGGCGCTATAGCTTCTCTTCTATTTGACCTCCAAATTTTAATTTGTTGTAGTGATGCAGAGTATAAGAAGCTCAAGAAAGAGTAAATTCAAAGTAATGGTGATATTTGAAACTTGGCATGATTTTAAAAAACTGATAGTAACCACGCATAGTCATATTTCTAGTATTATTAGTCTTATTTTATTACTATTTTTATGTTTTCTAGGATATTTAAGGTTAGGGGTATTTTGGTAATTTGTAGAATTTCTAGGTATGGGCTGTAAGGGTCACCCATGAGTCGTCTTGTGGGTCAAGTTATTTAATTGAGTTTTATTTATATTTCTTATTTAGTCTTAGATTAATTTTAGAAGTCAAAAATATTGTAGTAGTTTTTTTTTTGTTATAGTTGGTTTAGGAAGTCTCCTAGTTTTATATAAAACCATTGAATGCTAATAATTCAAGAGAGTTGATATTTTAAAGAATTTTGAGAGTTTTTAAGTCTTTTTGAGTTTGTGTGATGCAATCCTAACCCTAGGTGTGATGCCTATGGAATCTAGGTGTGATGCCTAGACTTATCTTCTTCTTCTCTCTTCTTTCTTCTTTTTTGTTTCAATCTACTGTTCACAGCCCTCTAAAAGTGTACTTTTCAACCTCAAACTCCATCCAATCACCCCAATCAACCGTAATCCCTTCCCTTACCTATTAGCCTTCAATTTAACCCTTGAAACCCTAAATTACTCACCGTTTAGGCCATGAAATAACCTCTGTTTTCAAAATCCAGCGCTGTCCCAACTTGTCCTACATCATGTAGTAACTAGGCGCTATAGCTTCGCTTCTATTTGACCTCCAATTCTTAATTTGTTGTAGATCTAACCTGGTTTTCCATTATTTCAGATGAGCAGCAACTTCGCAAGATGATTTTCTCAAATTCCTTCATCTTCTTTCTTCAATCCATGTTGCAGTTAGCGAGAATTTAAGGGACAAATTGCTCTTCCCGCACATTAGTCTTTGGCTAAACTGTAACACAGACTGATTGTTATGACTCAACAACCTCTCTGGCCATAAATCTAAAGCATACACATGGCCTAATTCTTCAAAGAAAACTCAGTTTATTTCAAGTTGAGCTGGCATTATTCCCGTGTTTTTACTTTCTATGTGAACAATTTGGTTCCATTTTGACCATTTTGGCGTTTATGACACAGGACTAACGAAATGGGAGCGCTGCCCGGTTTCTATATTACATATAATACTTCTACATATAACAGTGTTAAATGTGAAAGAAAAAGCACAATGGCAATACAACCAGTTAGACTTGATATTGTAATGAAATTTTTGTAGGACTCAATGAAAAAAAAAAAAAAAAAGAGTAAAGTGACTACAAGCTCTTAGTTTAATACCTAATTCTAAAAATGTTTTCTTTTATCATCTTTGCTATAATACAATACGCAGAACAAAAAAAAAACGAAACAAAACAAAACAAAACAAAACAAAACAAAATCATGAACGTATCCTGGTCGTACCCATATCTTATTTTTAAGATTTTGTCGCATTGTCATATCCATACCCATCTCATGTGTCCATATCCATGCTTCATAGTTGGTATGCCGCGTGAAGGTGGCTATTTTCTTTTATGGGTTGTAATACAAAACAAACTTCGGCAATACAAATCAATATTTTGTCAATTAAATAATTAAAATTGCTTTAGATATAACATTAATTAAATCATGACAAATTGAGATTAAGAGTGTCTAAACATGTGTATCATTTGAGTTTTAGGGGGTTGATGATTGTTTGAAAAAAAAATTGGCGATCGTGACACCTAATTCCTATAACATATCAACTAATAATCTCAATAACCACAGTTGTCAAACCGGAAATCATATCGTAAAAAAAGAACTAAATTTTGCGAATTGAAAATCAAATCAAACCAAGAGAATTGCAAGATTAGGCACAATCTATTTAAAAAAATGATGTTAAATATTCGTATTTGGAAAAAAATAAATAAATTGATTTTGATGCATGTTCTACAACCTTTCTTATATAAGTAAAAAATCACACCACATATTTGGGACAACATTGTCTTCATAGCAAGGGATGTTCAACATCCCTCCGAACATAAAATTATTTAAAAACCATAACATATTCTCTATTG